CCCCTCTTTTTAAGGCCTGAGTCATTTAATCCTGTCATTTCTAAATTCCCTAAGTGGAATGACTATACAGCAGCAGATGGCTACTACAGCTGGGCCAAGAGCTGTTCCGGTGGCCCAGCAACCCAGCCTGGATGCAGCAGACCACACTACAAAAATCAGGTTCTGGGGCCTCTAGGTCTTATTGCTAAAGCCCTTCAGTCTTAGGACAGAGAAGGCACACAGCTGTCCTCCGTACCCGGCGGGAAGACTTTAAGATATTAAGGTTGCAATAAAAAACCAGGCAGCTGCACACGCTGAGGTGGAGGCAGGAGCTGCAGAGGCAGCCGGGAGGGCCCGGGCAGCTCAGCAGGAGTTTCCCAACACACCTGAGCGAGCAGAAAGGCCGGCACGCAGGAAGGGCAGTGGTTGCGGCTGCACACGCATGGGGCCGGCACGGCGCCCGCCAGCAGCCCTGCCCCGGCCTCCTGCCTCAGAAACACAACTCAAACCAACGCAGAGGGAAAGAGAGTGGGGAAGAGCCTCTGCCTCCAGCGGCGGACATGCCGCCGCTCGCAGCCCGCCCTCGGCTCGGCTGCCGCCCCTTGCCCCTGGCTCCGGCTGCCCCGGGCTGGCAGTCAATGCTCTTCCACACCACAGCCCAGCCCCATTTCCCCAGTTTGCTGATTGCAACATGGGCTCTGGGGCAGCCAAGTCGGAACTGCAGCTCCCGCTGCCTGGCAGAGCAGCTCCCAGCCCCTGTGGGCAGGGGAAGCCGCACGCAGATGGGAAGACCTGCGGATGGGAAGCTCTGCTCCTTCAGCAGCTGGAACCACTCGGGGCTCATCCTTCCCTCCACCACCTCCCTGACCCCTCCAGGTGCCCGACGGGTCTCCCGGCTCGGGCAGATGGAGCACAACATGCAGCATGCACCTGCCAGCGGAACAGCATGACACCACCGGGGGTTATTGAGCACCGTGGTACATGGAGGGCTCTAAGGTTAGTCCTGAAATGCAGCTTGCACCCAGCCCACACTCCAGGCACGAGGCAAAGGTTTAGAGAAATAGAAACCTGTAACTGTGTCAGGCTGCAGCATCGATTCTCATTGACAACACTTTGCAACAGAGGGGTGGGTTTAAAGGCCAGTATCTAATGGATATGGCAAGCACAGGCTAGGCTATTTTAGCCATAAATGGTACGTAAATGGACAAACCTGGCAGGATTTCTGACATTTTATCCATAGCTGATACACAAAGTAATCCCTCTGTAACACATAATTAACCCAATTTTAAGGTATTAAGGGGGAATATGTACTTGGAGTCTCGATTACAGATCCCAGCTAGCAAGTATTTGTTCTCAACACAACTTCAGCAACGGTAGAAGGAAAATACAAACAGAAACCCTGCTGTTTGCTTAAGGCAATCAGTTTCAATGGACATATTGTCTGTGTGCATTTCTTGCATTGCATCCTTCACATGGGGCATTTCACGTCCCATCAAAGGCGTATCAAAGTAGAAGTTATGCGAATAGAGAGCTTTGGATAAAAACACCCGCTTCCCCAAACAGAAAAGCATGTGGAATAAAAGCAGGGAGAGCGGCCACAGCTCCTGAGGCAGGAGGGGATGGGGTTGATTGCAGCCTTTCCCTCCCCTCCAGGGCACCGCAGCCCCACATAGGGACAAGGCCAGCGTGGGGCTGAGGGGCTGCGAGGCGCCTCGGGGAGCCCTCGAGCAGAGCGGGGCAGCGCGGGACAGGCCCTGCAGAGCTGCCAGGCCCTGCAAAGCTGTCAAGCACGTGGGACCAGCCGCAGCTCTGCTGACATGCAGATGCAAAGCTACCGGGATCTCGCAAGCCAAAAATCCTGAAATTCCCCAAGGCCTGGGGGAAAAAGGAAAGGGGAAAAAAATTAGGCTGTCTGATTATGTTATTTTGGCTGCAGTTCATTGTTTCTTCTCACTGATAAAGCCGAAAAAATCATGTGTTTGTGGAAATGTCTGCAGGATAATAAAAATAAAGTGATTTCATTACCAAATCGTGTGCCAAACATTTGCCGCTGCTGACGTAATTTGGCCCAATCTGAGAGTTTAAAACACCATTCGGAGTCAAATACTTTGTCTCGTTCTCAAAGAGCCCTGTCTGCTGTGTGTCCTGTCATCACCCTGCTCTGTCCTCCACCCTCTTGTGGAAAAAAACGGGAAAAGGAACAAATCTCTATCCTCGGGTTAGCTGCTGTTGTACTCCATGGGTATAGGCCACTTTTTGCTTTTTTCCCCCCTCCTCTTACCTCAAAGAGAATCTTTCCTAAGTTTCAAAGCCATTAGGTCTGTGCCATCTGCTAATTTTAAGTAACTCTGCAGAAGCTATTGCAGTTCTTAAAATAAAATTTACAATGTAGAATCAACGCAAGCGCCCTTCCCTGACAGAGAAGAGCCAAGAAGTGCAGGAGAGGGCGACGTGGGGAAGCCAGCGCATCTCACCAACTGTGACACACATACATTTGTGTACATGCATGTGACATTCACATATACATGCAGGCCTATACGCAGCAACCAACATTTCCCATGGCAGCTTTATTTCCTTGCTCCATGCTGACAGTGCCCAGGCCGGCCTGAAAGCCGGCAGCTCCATCCAAAGGGTCCCAGCACCCAGGAGCCGCGCCCGGCCCAGGGCCCCGCTCACAGCACCCTAGTACTCCCTGTGTTCAAAAACGTGAAGAAACACTTAAACTGCTCGTTTCTTGAATGACAGATGTCAAAGGTTTAATCCTCCCTGCCTGCCAAGCTATCTGTCATTGTATGAACACCTAAGTGATCATTACAGGCTCCAAGCACATTAGTCACCGCTGACTAGTACATGATGAAGATGAGAGAGAAGCTTTGCTGGGAGAATAAATCTGTGCTCTTGCCAGACATATTTGGAAAAAGCATAAAAATGACTTCCAGAGTTTTGGCTACTTGAAATAGGCTTCTGTTTTTCTGTAGTACAGGTGAACTGAACAAAGAATAGCTCCAGAAAAAGCAATTTAAAATACTACTCTAATTTCACAAGTTGTGAAAAAAGGGAAGCTGAATTTGATAGTTACAAACAGATGGGCTCTTCCAGTTTCAAGTCTTTCTGCCTGAAACTTTGTGCATGTCTTTAAGTAGAGTTTTATTTTTATTTTAGTTCTTCCTATCAAAAAATGAGGAGGAAACAATGTCTGTTTACTCCGTAAGACAACTCAGAAACAGCTGTGGGTTTGAACTTCTTAAAAATTGTTGAAGTGCTTTTATTCATCCAGCTTAAAATCTTATCATTGCAGAAACTTTGGAAGCCGTATTTGGCAGCGCTCGGCAGGAGCAGCAAAGACACAGGATTACTGTTACTTAGCTGGAGTGCAGCGTTTTACATGTATAAAACTTCCCTGTATATTACTGCTCTAATGAGAGTAACTTTTAAGTGCAGCTGAAGAGTTTATAAGTAAAAAATCAACAAGTACAGCATTGGCTCTTAACTCCTGTTGAGGAAAAAAAAAGAAAGAAAAAAAAGACTAGTTATGGGGTTGGATTCTCGGTTAGACTTGGCAACAGATTCTGGGTTTGTGAAAAGACCAAGAGGAGCTGTGATACATTCTTCCCCAATTTTTGCAAGAGAGAAAATGCAACCACAGCAAGGGGCTGGGCAAACTGCAAAGCAGCATCAGGGAAGACCTGCAAGCGACTGAATCGATCACAGGGCTCTTGACCACAGCCCCAGAGGAAGCCCTGAGTCTTCCCTCCCACTCCCTGCAATGCCTATTAGCAAGCTCAGCTCTGTTTACAGGGCTGCAATCGCCCGAAAGCTGCTTATCTCACACTGTGAGCCTGCTTTAAGGACTCCCGGTTTTATTCTGGCCCATCCTTTTCCCTCAGTGAAACTCTGGAGCACGGGAATTTGGACCTGGGGCTCTATGTAGGGGAAATAATGTGGAATCTCTCTCATGATTTGTTCATCAGCAGACACTGGCACTTTTGAGAAGTCTCAGTCCAACACTGAAATAGAGATGAAAAAGACTTTCAACACTGCCCTTCTGCTGAGCCCATAAAATAATGCTTTAATGACAGTTTTAATTAAAAAGTCCTCATGGTTTGACGCCTAAGTACTCTATTGAGTGCCCTTCCTCTCTGTCCTACTTCCATATATTCATCTTCTTAAAGCCAGACCTTCTTGGGGCAACTTTTAGCTGTAATTTGGCCACAAATAAAGGAGCTGCTCTGAGTAAAAGTCATTAAAACAAAAAGCACAGAACAGAAAGAGAAGCAAGGGAAGTATTTTGTGAAGTTTTAACAGCAAGATTTATACCAGCATTCAGCAGCTCTAAGTACAAAACCATGGCACTGCCTGAGCTGCTGAGAGCAGCAGCGGTTCCTGTCCCAGCCACGCAGGCCACCTCCTTCAGGAGCAACCACATCGCAATTACAGAAGCTGGGCTCGTGAAAAAGCAATTATAGGGAAGCACTTAAATCCTTAAACAGCAAAGGAACTTCTGCTGCTGTTTAGCAACTAGAGGCAAGGCTAAGTAACACACAGATGCCCAAGTCTCCAACCAGCACTTCCCTTCCCAGGCAGCAGCTTAGGAACCGCTGCTGAAGCCCGTTTGCCACCCCTGCTCCCAGGGAGTGCACCAAGCCTGCTGGATGCAGCACCACCTGGGTGCTGCAGAACTCTCTTCAATAAAGCAAACGCTTCTTGGGAGCCTCGAATGAAAAGATTTGCATCTAGTGTCTCAAAAGGTAGAGCAAACTTTTAGCCATTATTGAAACATTTTGTAAAGAGGAGTGATTGATTTTGGTACCCATTTGATCTGTGTTTCCACAAAATCTGCAGCAACAAAAATATCACAAAAACTGTCTAAAGAGGTTGATATCAGACAGGGTTTCAAAAAAATAAAGGGAGGCTTACAAGTATGGGTAGATTGCATGCAATACTAGAAATACTGCTTCTGCAGAAAAACAAGTTCAAAAGGTTCTGAGCTATCAAATCCCAAACTGAACTTTTCCACTCACCTTAGTGTTCATACAAGATTTTCCACGTTTATACTCTTTGTGACTTGCTCTTTTATCAAGCTTGTTCCACAAAGCTTTGGCCTTCCATGTCGTCACTCTTGATTTCAGTTTTGTGTAAAAGTTTCTATTGTCCAAAGGATCTAATTCAAGTTGGCGAGTGAGAATATTGAAGGCCTGAATGGTACCTTTGCATGTTGATGCTTGTACAAAGTTCTCAAATGTCTGGCCAGCTTGGCTGTATTTTTCATCGTCGTTTTCCCCCATGTTCTGAGAGAAGTGTGCAAGGAGGATTAAGCTGGAGCTCTTGCGCTGCAGTACGGGTGACCAGCACTACCAAGCACTTCCAGGCATGTTACTCCTAGAAAAGGCAAAAATACAGGTCATGTTAAAGCAGGTTCTGCCCAACAAAAATTAAACCCACAAACTGTAAGTATTGTCAATACAAACACAAAAACACAACACAGCAAGGTACAAGATGGAGTTGACAATGGCATTCACCATGCATGCATTTAAAAATCAATACAACATACCCACATTGCCACAACATGCACCTCACAAATGCTGCTTGAAAAACCCTGTGCACTCAATTCCACTGCTTCAAGAATCACCAGCTTCCCACAGAACATGTAAATTTCCTTAGCTCTTGTTCAGTGACAGCTTCTAGGTAATAGATTTAAGAATTTAAGACCAAAAAGAAAAGGCCAATGCTTTTCGTAACCAGAACTGAAGTCACAGTAAGCATGTCTCCAGTAATGCTTTGGTCTCAGTGATCCTTAGAAACAGGCAGCCAAAAGTCAACACTATTTTAGGGTAATTTCTCCTGTTACACAAGCTAGGAGAAGGGTTTAGCCAGAGCAATTTAGAATTGGCCAGAGTAGCCAGGCCTTTTGCCATGAGCAAACACAGAAAACAGGATAAGCAGGAACATTATCGCAAGCTCCTCCAGACCTGAAATAACAGAAAACAAGTAAGCACAGAGAGCTCCCCCTTTTCCAAAGCTCTTGTCAAAACAGAAAAGGGGTAGGTGCTCTGGTTCGTGGAAAGGAATTTTATCTCCACATGCTAAATGCTCAAGTTCTGTGTTTGGAGCCTTACCTTGTCAGGCACTGCAGACACAGGGTAGTGAGGTTTGGCCCACTAAGCTCTACTCTCTTTTCTTAGTAATACGATCACTGTCGAATTTTGTCTGATATTCCAGATAAATACCCAATGTCTAGCAAGTACAAAGCTATTCCAAACTAACATCGGTTTGCAAGAACTGAAATAGTTTCATTGGGGCACTCCCTTATCCTGCTTTACCCTTGTTCTTTAATGGGGAGTGTCTGAAAGAGTCAGCCAAGGTCCAAAGAAAATATCCAAGCGGCTTTTGCATTTTTTTCCAAGAGAATTATTACAGGTTATGTAGAAACTTGCCCTCAGAAAGGGGACTATCTGGACTCAAGTCCAGAGATTTAAGTCATATATTCATCTTCTTGCTATTAAAGAATTAGCTACCAGTCCAAGCAATCAAGAACTAAATCAATGCTTGCCTAACCTCCCACATAATTAGTTATTTTACTTGGAATGTCATCTGTTGGCTGATAGTTTTAGAATAAATACTTTGAAGAGCCTTTGAGGTTATATTTTTTAATTTAACACTGCTCACTAACTATTCATTCCCTGCTTGCATTTCCGTCAAAGAAAAGGGAAAATATAACCAGTATATTTAAGTAGAGATCTACCATGTCTATCTCACAAACCTCTAATACAGAAAAATATTATGCAACGTATTAAAAAAGATCCCGAGGGAAGAAATAAGGAAGCATTTGGAAGAGTTGCATTCCCTGGCTATGCTCAAAATAAATAACCTTTGTGTGCACATCATCATTCTGTTGTTGGTTTGTGGGCAAAATAAATTGGCAGCACTTAAAGAGTCTGTACATTTGCTTAGACCCAATGTCATGATTAAATATGTTGTGCCAAGAATAAGTCAGGAAATTTTTGTTTTCCCCTCTGAATTCTTCATTTTTAGTACGCTCTGTGCCCTTTGCTGAAGGGCAGTGAAGTAAAAACAGAACCATGCTGTATGCCCTGACCTACCACAGGTCTGATTTTTCAAGAAACCGAGTGCCCTAAGCTCCCACCGACTCCTCAGGCGTTGCTGATCCCCAGCCCCTTACCAGCTGGAAGGGCTCGAGCACAACGTGCGGAGACCCCGGCACCGGCGAGGGGACTCCCCAGAACGCAGCACTGCTGCTTCTGGGCTGCCCCCAAATCCAACGAGGGATTCGGAAGGTCGCAGGGGAGCAGGAAAGGGAGGGGACTGCCAGGCAGGCAGATCGCTTGCGACCAAGCCCAAATGTATGTCTGGATTTCAGTTTTACACGCAAGCTCTGTTGTAAGAGGGAGCCAACTAAAGACAGAGAGGGCACCATGTAAGGTGCCACAGTGTGGCTTGAGCAGTGCAACCTACAGGCACTCTGGAAGCTAAGGGCAATTAAAAGAAAAGAGTGATAAACACTTATGTCATCATATGACTGCAGTACCTGCCCATGAGATTTTTGACAGAACAGTCAAAATTTTTTTTTTTTTTGTTATTTTTCTTTGCCTCAGAGCAATGCTGACCAGCTTCCTGCTGAGTGAAGAGGTGTCAGTGAAATATTCCACTTTGGACGCTGCAGCGAAGCGAAGGGCAGAGAGATTAGATTGTCCTCGGCCCCGTCGCCTCGTATCCCTATTACCTCACCACAACAAAAGATTCTGAATGACTTAATGGCTCTAAAACAATCCCCGCCACTGTTTTCATTAGCAGACCACAAGGCCGTTATCATGTTCATATAACACAAATATCTCTAAAGTCAACTCTGGCATAACAGATAATAGAGCCTGATCACAAGCCCCTAAATGCAATTTATTTTCTGTGCAGACAGGAGATAACTTTATAGCCTCAGCAGTTTCCAGGCGGCAAGGAAGGGAGGAGAAGAGCTGGGAGAGGAGAGCCATATCTGAACTCCCCAAGGAGGGGAAAACTGCATGTGCCAGGCTGGTCTCCACGAGGAGAAAGGAGGAAAGACGGTCTGCATAGACTGTACCTTGAGCACTACCCGAATAGTGACCAAAATGTCTCTACCAAGAGCTGCAGCTTAAATTGATGCACCAAACTGGTTCACTTCAGCTAACATGGAGCTTTTTAGCATTATAAAGTAAGCAACAACATTGAAATATGGGAGTCACTAAATGAGAACAAGTAACTTTTGACAAGAGCAGCATGTCAAGTGCTCATTGACAGTGTTTTGGAGTAGCATGCTTGAAAGTTCAAAAAACTACTTCTTTTGGTTTAGTTTTCCCATTGGGGTGAAGAAAAGCTATTAGTTTCAGCTCAAACTTACAGCACTTTTAAGTCCTCCCCCTTAGTGCTCCATTTCTAGTATTTGAGAAGACAATCCTCAAGGAGATTGGAAAAGAATCAAATTCCTCACATTTCAATGCTACTGATCCTGCATTTTCAACATCGCCCTCATTCTGCCATGTTTCCTGAGAGCAGTTTCACCTACTAAGGCTTTAGTCAGGCACGCTAGATACAAAATATTAACTGCTTCTATTAACTGCTTGCCTAAGGTTAACCACAAAAAGAAACAGAAGGATGAACCGTGCAGCACCTGCAGTGATCTCTTACTTCAAACTTCCCTCATCACTGAAAACTGCAGTATTTCTGCTGCCTCCTTTCTACCAGCTTTCCTGCTGCTGCAAGTGAAACTGGCTGCATTGCAGGGCTTTCCAGGCTTTTCAACTTCATTTCTACTCACATTAGACACTTTGTTTTCATGAGGACCATTTTAGATATAAATATTTCTATCTGGAAGAAACATAGCTTTTGGGTGGTTTGGTTTCTTTGCATGTTTTCCTAGAACTGACATAATAAGAGGGGAAAAAATTAATGGGATTCTGGTAAGAACTAGAGCTCTTCCTTGCTTTGCTTATAAAGCCAGTTCAAACACAAAAATAGATCTGCTTAAAATACTTGTTTTCAATTGGTGAGAATGAAAACGCATTTCTCAAGATGCACACTCCTGAGAAGCATGAATGAAAAAGACTGCTTCTGAACAAGCCTCCCAAACAGCAAACAGTCTCTTCCTGAACACCTAGATGAGTTTTTGTTTTGTTTTTAAATAGAAAGCTGACTTCCACAGAGCTCCTGCAAAATAACTTCTGAGGCCAAGCACAGAACTCAGAACAGCTCCCGCCGAGGCGCTCGCTGCCCCTGGACTGCCAGGTTAGCGGCCACGTCACTATCGGCTTGTTTTGCCCAAGCTGGACAAAACTCTCCAAACACGGGCCGTCCTTCCAACAAGTCCTACTCAGAGGATTTAACCTGCCCCATCTGGGGCCGTTCCTCAACAAAGCGCGCGCAGCAAGGACACTTATTCAGATACCTGCACAGGAGGCACCAAATAAAGACACCCTCCTATGGGAATTCACTCTACACAGACTAACCCAGGCTCCAGGCACTCCACTGTTGATGACTATGCAAGCAATGGGCAGATCAAAAAGCAAAGCACCTACCAGGGGAGACCATTCTTTCCAGGAACTGTTCAGGGATTCAGGCACCAGCAATAAATCTGAACACTTGTATTGGTTCATGTATAAATACCTGAGGGGAGAATGTAAAGAGGATGGGGACAAACTCTTCTCAGTGGTGGCCGGTGACAAGACAAGGGGCAATGGGCCTAAGCTGCAACATGGGCAGTGTCATCTCCACGTGAGGAAGAACTTCTTCACTGTGAGGGTGACAGAGCAGAGGAACAGGCTGCCCAGGGAGGTTGTGGAGTCTCCTTCTCTGGAGGTCTTCAAAACCCGCCTGGATGCCACCCTGTGCCCCGTGCTGTAGGTGTCCTAGCTGGAGGGGAGGGGTGGACTAGATGAGCTCCACAGGTCCCTTCCAACCTCAACCATTCTGCAGTTCTGTGGCTCATGTACACTCATTTCCATACTTCCAGCCTTCTCTGGGAAGCACAGCAAGGACACAAGGATTTAAGAATCACAGACAACATAATTAAATAAGATGAACGTAGTTTTCATAGAATTTAGAATTTAATTGACCAACTTGCTGGAGAGCTGGAAGCCGCACCCTGCCTCATGAGTCTTCCAGATAGGCAATTAAATGAAAAAAGTAGCATCCAGACTCAGAAAAGAGAAGCTTGCAGTGAGTATTTTGAAAATAGTTTTTCTAACAGAGGTGCTAAAAGCTCTATAATAAAGTCACAAATTTTCTATAGCGTCTTCATCTTCAAAGATAATTTTAGATGATTAAGCCACACTCATTAAAGGTTAATGTCACACATAAATAGCGTATTAAAACTTGTTTAGACTGGTTGCAAG